TTTCAAACTGAAATTGGATTTAGCAAAACAGCTATAAAAGGGGGCTTACAGGAAATACACATTTTCAGAAGAAAGGCAAGAGTAAGTAGGGAATTGTGCAGAAATGCAAGCTAGGAAGAAATGGAAGGATGAGGTCAAAAATCAAGATTTGAGATTTTCTATGTAGGTTTAATTGGTCCTGTAGTTCTGAAGAGAATTTTCTGCCTCATTTATTGTTTTCTATCTAATATAGTATAAAACTTTGCCGTTTATTACAAGTGTCACTGTTTCTCTCTTTTCTATGGTTAATAAGCTTTATTCTTTAGGGTCATTGTTGCAAAATCTGAGGAAAAGAAAATATTTTTTCAAAAGAGATTAGAGTAAGAGAGTGGGATGAGCCCACTCACAGGAGATCAGGAGATGTTCTCCTACTAAACCTGCCAGTGCTACAGGCAATCTGTAATAGAAGAAAAGACCAGCAATAATTCATATACTGGAGGCAGCAGGGGATCACTGATCTCCTAGCTAGCAAAAGATATAACTCGAGTTTTACTAGAGTACTGCTTATTTGTACATACTCAGAACTCATCACTGAAATCAGCATGGAGGGCCATCTAAAATCCATGGGAGTGGGGCAACAATTGCCTCAGGTGTATATCTTAAAATGAACTCAATGAAAATACTTTGGCATTAAATTATCTGTGAATGAATTTAAAATTGAGCATCAACATTTTAAAATGACAATTAGTGTTTTGGGAGAAAAAAAGTTTTTAGTAGAAGCAGAGAACAGAATATCTGTTCATAACTACAAATGTGTGTTTGATTATCTAAGTCATAAGGGATAATACATTCCTCTTACTACACTTGACTGTCTGTAGAAATAATTGATTGTAACAACAGAATTTAAGAATTAAATTTTCATAGGAACCCACCAACAGAAAATAATTACTGCCCTTTGTATTAAGTATTTTCTTTTTCTATATATAAATTGTGCAGTGCCTCTGATTTGGAAAGGAGTAACTGTGAAACAAATGGATAGCTGAATTATTTAGGACATGATAGATTAAAAGTACAACTGCAAACATATCAAGGATTGGCATGCTTTATTTTAGCATATCTATTTGGCAAGAAATAGAGCCCAGGCGTTAATTGTACTTTTTGAAATTCTGAACAAATTAGCATCAACACAGTTTTCTTGTACACTTTTATAGCAGGCCCCTTTTATTTTTCTTGTTTTGACAAATTCTGCTGGTTTGAGAGATAATCCCTTTAATGACACATGGAATAAAACTGGAACCAAGCAAACTTGCAACATGAAACACTTCCAAGCACACTTACTGTAGTAATATAGTTTGGCAAGCTTGCTGACCAAGGCTGTCCGCTGATTAATGTGCTGCTGGTCAAGTCCCCCATAGTAATACTGTTTCACTGGATAGAATTTAGTGAAGATTTTGTCCTTCCATACGCCTCTAACATTTATTTAGGCGTTAAGTATACGTATACATTTTTATCTGTATCTACACCTTCCTAACTGAGGCTGGAACGAATACCTTAGGATACGCAAACAACTTTTATTAGAAGTGATATGTATCTTGGAGAAATAACTAATCCAATGTGTATACTTTATTTGTGCAAGTTAAAAGGTTAGTTGACTAAGTTAGATCACAAACAACATTTGTCTCTCTAGATAGCAGTTCTGTTTACACTCTGTGTGTGTACAGTCCCAGTCACGCCAACAGCTAACAACAATGGTGCTGCTAACACTGAACACCAACAGTGGAATTTTCACCAACAAAAATCAGTTTGCATAAATATCAAAGCACTTGATAGACAATGGTATCACTTATAAAGACAAAAAAAAAAAAAAAGAATCACAGACTGAAACTAACATAACTGCCTAAAATCATACACTAATTCAGCGACCTGTGTTTACTGTATAAAGCCATGTCAACACCAGCAGATCAGAAGGAGGACATACTGGATAGAAAAAATAATTCAAAATAAATATTCACATTTTACAGCCACTTGGCTATAATGATAAAATTGTGTTAGTTGCAATGCCAAAAATGTGATATATATTTACATTTCTAAAAATCTCTTACTTCAGCATCAAAGCGAGGATCCTGATAGGCATCACTGATATTCACTGGGAGACCCGTGGAAGCTACGAGTTCAGCAATGCTATTATTTATTAGCCAGTCGGAATAAGACGATGATTTCTCCATGCTGTCTTTGAAACTATCAAAAGGCATAACAAGGGAAGAAAAGAATACAGTCAACGTTGCTTGAAAGTCCAGCACGTCTTACGGGCATGTTCACAGAACAGCAGAACCATTCACAGTTATTAATGGTTACTAAGCATTATCTATGTAACAATAATTTGTTATTTATTGAAATGGCACATCAAAAGTTCTCTCTTTTACACAATTCTTTCTCTTGAAAATAGCATTGGTCTCCAAAGTAAACTAAATATAGCATTTAATAATTAAATGCATTTACATATGAATCAAGAGTGGGATTATGTTCTAAGTTTCTGTGGGATACAGGCCTGCTCATCAAAAGCAACCAGTTTTAAATATTTTATGTAGAGCTACCTGAACATATATAATTTTAAGATTTTAATTTTTCAAATTAGTATAATAATTTGAGGTATTTTTAATTCATACTTCCAATAATTTTCCTGTCAAGGGAAATGCCATTTTTTTTATTTCGGTCTGAAATGCCAGACCTGAGTGGCTGAAGAAGGGATCATGAAATAAGTCTTAAAATCAATAACGTGTGTTGCAGCAGGTGGATCCAAGTAGACATACAATACATTAATGTTTCCTTTTTTTTTTTTCTGGCTGAGCTTCTGCCACAACTATTGAGGGGCTAGAAGGCTGTCAGTAAATGAACATAAGACACGAGAATTATGGGCTCAACTCACCACACTCCACCACAGCTACTCCAGAAAATTCAGTATCTACACAGACCTTAAAGTCCTCACCTTATACCTAATCTAATCAGCAGGTCTCACTGATTTATTGCAGATAGGTTTTTGACATTGGCAAGGGGTAGCTATTCATGTGTGAATAAACAAATGCATATTGTCTTAGTTTTGAGAAGAAAACTGATCAATTTACAACACCTGAGAAACATTACTTAGAAAAAAGTGACTCTGAGCAGCCATGGAGAAGACTACAATAGCTTGAAGCTTCAAAGTAATGCACATGAATGAAAGAAGGATGCACAGTAAAATGCTTGGAAGACTGAATCAAAGTGAAAGGATTGATTTTTTGTTGGCTGCATTGATTTTCTGGAGACTAATTCAACTAAGTCACTCATTTGAAAGAAAACTCAATATTCTTAAAAGACTATAAAGAAAGATAATAATAATGATTTACACAAATAAATCTAAGTGTATCAACTTTCATTTGGGATAAGAATTTTGAGTGACTGTAATAAATGTTATGTGTATACTTTGACAGGAACCTTTACAGAAATGTAATGTTTTTTGAACTAAGTAAAAAAATTCACGTTTATAATTTAAAATTTATTTCAGACATCAATACTTGAGAAGCAAAAAAATCTTTAAGGATAAGAATCTAATTTCAAATGCATAGCTCAGTTCATACCTTAAAAATCTGGAAGATATTATCATCATATTATAAGACACTTTAAATCGGAACTGGATTATGGGTGTCAAGCATTTTAAGCAGCAAATGAATTCAAGTAAAAGAAACAAGATGTAATTCAGGAAGAAATTTTAAAAGCATGTTCTACTATGTTGTCTCCAGTCCTAACAAGTATTTTACAACTACACCCTGGAAGAGAGGCACTCAACTTTCACTAGGAGGAAATATCAATGTTTAATTCTGATGCAAATCGCAGCCAGCTGGCTCTCTCTCCATCCTCAGCAGCTCAGAAGCTACTCTGAAAATCACAGGCAACAATTTTCTCCAAACTGCGGAAAGCTGTGAGTGAGTCCTGCTGGACTGATGCAGGCAGCTGCACACCACTATCCCTGTCTTGCCCACGCACTAGCAGGAGCACCACATGCCAGGCAGGAGAGTAAACCCAGCTCAAGAGCACCGAGCAGTGCTGCAGGCTCCCCTTATGCAGGTGCTTGCCTTGCTATCTTCCCCAAAGCCTCCCTGACAGGGATGGCAGAAAGTACAGTAGGGAAGTGGTACAGCCAAAATCACGGGTACCTTCAATCCTCTCTAAACAGTGACATGAACCCTTCCAGCTCCTAGGACTAGATGAGCAGAAAGATGCCTTAAGAAGCATAAAAATACTGCAGGGAATGGGGTGAACCCTCAAGGCTTCTAAGATTTATGTAATCTTTTTTCAAAGGGAGAGAAAATTTAGGAGACTTGGCAAACCTGTACTTCAAGAACAAAATGATTGGCAAAAAGGAGAACATCAGTGTGCCAATATGGATAATAACCAAACTTGACCATGGTGCGTGCTGAATAATTGCAAACTGAACATATAAATGCAAGTATGGTCTTGCAAGGTATTTCTTTACAACAAACAGCAAAGAAAAAAAGATGAGAGAATATTTAGGGACTAAACAGGTGAACTGCTATTAGCCAGATGTAAGAAGGGCAAAAGAAAAGCCAATTTCTTCTAAAACTGTGTGAGAATGTATGTGAGGACATGAAAAGTTATATTGTCCTTGCAGCTTCTCTCTCTTTGAGATAGAACTTATAACTAGAACTGTTCACAACCTATAATCTCTTTGGATTTCCACTAAAATTTCAAAGAAATAATTATCTTCACTGGTGTGATGATGAAGAAACTCATCTTGCCATTTTTTTCCACATGAAACGTCTCATGACTTTACATCAGTTAGGGCTGCAGAATGTAGAATGAAAAGGGCAAAACTCACTAGAAAAATGCTCAAATGTCAAGGGCTCACGGCATTGTTCTGCATCCTAAATAACCTTTATTTTCCCTCTATAGTGCCAATAACTCAAGCTGTGCCTGTGCTAGATCCAAATGTGACATCATATCCACCAGTCTAACCTTAGTCTTTGTAAAACCAGCTTCACTCTCCACTGGATGAAAAATGAAAATATAAAGATTTATTGCTTTTTCTAAGATGCACAGAAATATACCTTCATAAATCTTATAAAGACTAGCTACCATGTTGCACGTGTTTATTCATGTCTCAGACTAAAGTTAAAATAATCTTGACTACATGCAGAGCAGGCTACTACAAATTGCTTTTTGGTAACGTGTTAATATAACTATGGTAACAAGAAATGAGCCAGCTTGGTTATCTTGACACCACTCTACATTGTTTTGACTAATCTGGCTACAGATCAAGTTTGAGAAAAACAAGAATAACAACCACATCCCTTGATTCATACTCCTGTCCCTGAACAAAAGGAATGTATTTTCACCAATTTAATTGACCTAGGAAAGACCAACTGCTACTCTGAAGCTCTTTGTCAAAAGCAGTAACTTGTGATTCCCAGATGAATCAGCAGATTTATTCATATTTACACCTTCCTATTCTTTATCATTTGTTTTCCTTTTCCATTTGTCTCACTGTTCCCATCTCTCAACTAGTGGATAGGGCATGGAAGAGGTCTAGCTTCTACCTGTCTTTCTGTGTGGCCCTGGACTCTGCTGTCAGCGTGCACACCTTAAAAATAACACTACTCATTTTTGTAATGCTGTGAGATTAATCAATGAAAAGCATTAAGAATTATGACCTGTCGTAATCTGGAGTACAATGTGCACATTCACCTTAATGAAGTGGTGGCTTCTTACCACACTGGAGGTGAAGAAATAAAGCATGAAAGAAGGCAAATTACCCAAAAATATTTTTAAGAGCTTCTTAAAGGACTTAAATATGGGAAAACACAAAGTAATCTTCAAGTTTGCTAAGCTATGGAGAGCAAGTTGGACAGAAGGCTAGGTTTATCATTATGGCAGCCATTTGACATGGAAAATTCTAATTCAGAATCAGTATGAATTGATTTGCATAAAATGTGTATGATAGTCACTGAGTTTGGGCCCTGAAAGATGGGAGAAACCTTCTCACAATAGCTCTGAATCTTCATCCACTTGTTTGGTATGTAGGACATTTTATGTGAACTGTTACCAGTTGTATTATCTTGTAGGAATTAATATAGTAACCCCACATGGACAAAAAGATCTTTGTAGTACTACTTACAATCAGCCCTTTATCCACATTTAAATACAGCTCCTACTAAGCAAAACATATACTTATATTTTGACTGGGCTCCCAAACAAGATTTAGTCACAGGAACACAATTTCTAGGAAATACATGTTCTCTGACATTTTTAGGCTTTCCAACTTAATGACAAGAACAGAAATAAAATTTTACTGAAAACCTTTCAACACAATTGTAAGGAGGCATTTTATAAGAGATCACAATCAATCTAAAATAATTTTGTAATTTTTCTTCAGTATTTATTATGCCATACATTTGTGTGTTCTCCACGAGTTCAACAATAAAGAGTCATCAGTTATTTCCTGGTTTCTTCTCTGAGACACTGATACAATGTTAGTGCATATATATACACACACATATATAAAAAAATATAGGCACATATATTTATTCAAGCAAGTCTCCATTTGAAGCAAGCAGGAATCTTGTCTGAGTAAAAACTGTAGGCTCACACTCTTCAATCAAAACTACTCAAAGTTCCATAAGAAAATAAAACTATGATCAAGCAAATTTAAAACTATGTGAAAAATAAAGTAATCCATTACCATAGAAGCCAGGAGCACTAACCTGTTGTCAGTATCAGCACTGCATTTTGGAGATAACAACTCAAAGGATTTTGTAAATTTCACCACCTGTCACAAAAAAGTAACTTAAAATTGTTATTAAGATGAATAAATATGTAAGAAGAGAGTAATGTAAGGTTCCTATATTTAAACCATATTTTCATCCAACGGTCTTAGAAAAATAATTCAATCTGTATTCCCCCAATGGAGAATTCATGTTCAAAATACACACTGTGCACAGTTCACCAACAAACAATATCAAATCAAATGATAACTTTAGATTCCTTCAGGAAACTATTTTCTGCCACAGTATATGCTTCCCCTCAAAGGGCTTTGGAAGAGCTTTGCCCAAACTTCACTTTTTTAATACAGGAAAATAAACAGAAAGACCCATTTGCACTACTAATTGCAATCGATTTTCCTTGAACATATGTGCCAACAGCACGTTAAGTGAAACATTTTAAGAGTGGCTAATGTGACACAGAACACAGGTAATGTTTGTGGATGCTAGTATGAGTCCCCATCCTCCACTTCAGTTCTGTATTGTAAAAGCTTTTCACGCGATGTACAAATGACAATGTTTTAGATATGGCTTAACACTGAGTTACTCTATGGAGATCTGTTTTGATATATAGGTTAATCCTCCAAAATAGGAGGAAATCAGGAAAATAACTGTTTTGCCACTTGTAAAAATGACCAAGTGGGTGGCAAGATGCTATTCTCCTACTCCAAATTAACCTAAGATTTATGACTGTTTAGAAAAAGTTTAAGCTTAACTGAATACCTTGGCTGTCCACATTTCAGAATTTGGTCTAGAAGAATGAGAACTCATTGCCTGTGGTTTGGAAGAAAAACCCTCTGTGCTCAAAGGTAGAAATAGTACCAAGAGCAGAAAAATGAAGTGAACAATGCCACCCACAGCCTGCTACTAACACAATGTACTACTGTTCTGTGAAAAATAAAAATCACATTATACTTGCAAACATAGTGACATTTCATAAGAATGTAGTAGAACTGTATCTTGTAATTATAAAATCAGTGTGGGGGGTCTAGAAAGAGAAAATGAACTAGAAACATTAAAATTCTATAACAGAGAATATATAAACGAAATACAAACCTTGATCTTGCTTTTATGAAAGCTAGTGTAATTTAGGGCATACTCCACTGAAAGTACTTAATTTCTATTAGTTTAAATGAAATGAGAATCACAGCTTTCCTCCAGGAAAGAAAATAATGGGTTTTTTTCTGCCATACACACAAACTTATGATTCCATCTCTGATAAGCATTTAGAGTTGTCACAGCCCAGCAACAAGTAATCAATTACAGAGTCAGTGAATCCAAAGATACTTGGATAGAAAAAACAATGATATTACAAGCAACATTTTTATCCTTCAACTACTTCTCAAATCAGTAGGAAGGAGGATAGTTTGTGCTGAATAGCCTGAAAACACTGAAGGGAGCTACCAATATAAAAGCAGTCACTTCTTTTACTACTAATAACAATAGTTATAAAAATGTTAAACATTTTTAAAAAGGTTCTCATACCCTATGAACGGTAGTACTACAAAGTATCAGTGAAAGCCCCTGTCAAAACTGTGCATGAAATCCAACTCTTGACAAATGCTTTCATATAGCTTATGTCCATCTCTTCAACTTAACAGAGCTCTACAATGAAATAATTATTCTGTGTTCAAGTGGACAGAGCAATTGCAAAAACCAAACATACTTCACTAAAGCTGACAGTCACATTTTCTCTTCACCTGCTAATGCAAAAGCTTCTTCCTATCACAAGAACAAGTACGTGACTATCTAGACATTTGTATGCAGATGTGTCTTTTCCAATGGATTTTCTGTTACCTCAGGGAAAAATTACTAGGTCAAAATAGCAAGAGGACTTATCTTTTCACAGCATTTTCATAATTTAGGAACCGAGACTGGTTCTCATTATTTATTTTGTGAAGTATTAAAGAAACTTGTTAAAATGTGCAAACGTAGCTACTCCCAAACATACCCCTGCCAATGGCTAGAGTGCATGGAAAACTTTCAGGAATGAACACATCCCATGGAGTAGTGGCCACCAAAAGTAGCTGAGAAAGCTCCATGTGTTGCAGGTTCAGCTCTGTCTTGCTGTTCTTCCACATTCAAATACTGGATTTCACAAAAAAACCCCAAACATTCATGAGGCAAGTTCAGAAGCTGACTACTGTGAAGACACTGATTAGATTGCTGTAAAGCCCACTGAGTAGCTGAATACACAGGCAGGATGGTCAGTTAACAAAGTCTTGATGAGTTTATTTTTATCTGTTATTTCTGAGGGACCAGTAGTCTGATTAAAAATGCAACATGTTACATAGTAGAATAGAAACTACATAAGTATTTCAGTTTGCTACAGTTAAACAACAATAACATGCAAAAGTATGAACACTGTAGAAATATCAACAAAGATGTCTGATAATTCTTTATTGGAATGTATGCAGAAAAGGTTAGTTCTAAAAATGAGAATGAAAGATTTGGTTGATGATGCAACTGTTTCTAGTTCTGAAACTGCTTGCAAGCACCACCCATTTGATAAGTTATTAGTCTGAAAATGTTAGCAAGGTCATAAATTCCAGGTAAATGTAAATGAAGCTACAGACAGGATTTTTCTTTCCTTCCATTGGCTATACCATGAAAGAAAGGAACTGAGCAAATAAATATTTGATAACAACTCAGGTCATTTTTTTTTTAAGCAAACTACAGGAGCACCTTGCCTCTCAGTTAAGCTGTACTAGCTGCTCTGTAGTAAGCACTAATTCCATCACACAGACAATTGGGAATCACAGCGTATCACAGCTGGACCACACCACTGATAGTTAGATCCATCATCAACTTACAGACATCCCATTAAATGCCTTCAAATGAGCAGAAGGAATCATAAATGTACCTTTCAGTTTCCATTTGAAAAAGTGACTATACTGATTTTGGCTGGGATAGAGTTAGTTTTCTTCATAGTAGCTTGTATGGTGACATGTTTTAGATTTGTGATGAAAACAGGGTTGATAACACAGGAATGTTTACATTATTGCTGAACAGTGCTTATACAATGTCAAGGCCTTCTCTGTTTCTCACTCTGCCACCCCAGTGAATAGATTGGGGGGCACACAATAGATAGGGAGGGGACACAGCTGGGACAGCTGACCCCAACTGACCAAAGGGATTTCCCATACCATGACATCATGCTCAGCATAAAAGCTGCGGGAAGGAGGAGGAAGGGGGGCACTTTCAGATTTATGGCGTTTGTCTTCCCAAGTAACCATTACATATGATGAAGCCCTGCTTTCCTGGAAATGATAGAACACCTGCCTGCCGATTGGAAGTAGCGTATGAATTCCTTATTTTGCTTTGCTTGTGCACACAGCTTTTGCTACTGAAACTGTCTTTATCTCAACCTATGAGTTTTCACACTTTTACCCTTCCAATTCCCTTTCCCACCCTACTGGGGTGGGGAAAGGAGTGAGTGGCTGCGTGGGGCTTAGCTGCCTACTGGGGTTAAACCACAACAGTGGTGTTGATAAAGATTCAACCTGTACCTAACATACATTTAAGAATGATGTGCTGGAAGAATACTTGCTGTTCAGTACTTACATACGATATGAAACAACTTCACCACAATAAAAGCAGCTGCTCCACCACTCAAATTATTAGCCTTTCTACAGAATGTGCAGCCATACTTACCGGTGACTCGATATCTTCCAGAAGTAATACTGAGCACCGTTCACACTTCAGCAGAGTCTGGGCCCGATGCATAATTTTCTTGACAATTTTCTCCAAGTCAGTCTGTTCCTCAAAGAGGTCATTCACTACTTCCAGTAAAGCCTGCATACAAGGACAGAAAACTCCTGTATTGGTTGTAGAATTAATAAATACAAGGAGGGATAATCTCTGGGCTTGATTTTAATATGAGTGATCTGTTGAAATCTTAATTCAAATAAAGTTCTTAATGATTATGGCAACAGAATTGGGGTGGGGGTATCTGAAGAAAGAAAGAAGTATTTCTTAGCTCACACCTGGGCACAATCCAACTCCTAACAAACAATGGGAATCTTTCAAACTATTTCACTGTGGTCCAAAAATGAAACAATGGCTGTAATGCACATCTCCAAGTACACAGTATGGATTGAGTTACTTGATTTGCTATATTGAATTTGCTGGTGCATTTAAACTCTATTTTATTCATTTATTACCCATTTTGCATGTTCAAAGCTGGAAAGAAAAAAAAAAAACCCCACATCAACACTTCCATATTCCAACAGCACTCTGATCCAGTCTTTACCACTAACAACATGTCTGTAAAATACAATGTTTTAAAATGAAGGGCTTCCCCTCTCATTTCATCAACTTTAAAAATAGGCCACGTTCTTTCTTACCATGGGCCCAAAGAAGTGTGCTTCTTCCTTTATTCTATTCTGGTTTAGGGCACCAACACTAAAGAACATCCATATAAGTAAGCATATAAACGTTAGTGGTCATAGCTCTCCTAACGCAGTGGTCCATCAGCAAAATGTTGGCCCCAGTCACTGGAAGTTGCCACCCATTGGTGTGCAGTTTGATAGGGAAGGCAAAGTATGGGCTTGTCCATCACATGTTACTTGCCAACTATTTTCAGCCATGGACTGGGCAAAGCTGAAGACCCCCAAAAGGTTGGAAATACAATTAAGTACAGACCACCACGTAGCTGTTAAATGGCAACGATGTTTGTTATGCCTCACATAACTGAAGCAGCCACAAAACCCAAAGAATCTGTATCTCTAATCCAATTTCCTGATGTGTCCAACCACCAGAATTTACCATTTTCTAACGAAGAATGAGAATGTCCCTAATACTTTTCTAATGAAGAATGAGACTGTCGCTAATACTTTTCTGCTGAATACCTCCCTCAGAAGATTAAACGCCGACTCCTCAGAAGTCTGTCATTGTCCTCTGCAGGCTGGGAATCTGCAGAAAATTTTACGTCTCTATGCAGTCAAACAATTATTTTGTTTGAGCATCAAACAAATAAAAAGATCTTTGGCAGAAAATCTTTTTTTCCCCAAGTCTCCTCCACATCTCCACACCAAAATATAGTGCTCTGTAGTCAGACCTGGACAAAAGGCAAGCTCAGATGCTTCATGACCCTTAGATATATACACCATTAGAAAGGGCTATTGTAAGTAGTGGAAAGCATTAGTTTCCATACATGGAAAGCACCAAAATCCTGAATATACAAATGTCAGTAATCTATACACAGACCCACCCCACTGTAGTTTCCCCTGCTTTGTGAAGCAAGAGTAGGTTCAGCACTAGCAGTGGTATTTCTACTGAAGCTTTGGAGCTGTGATCCATGATAACAAAAGTATCATTTCCTGTCATTGCAGGAAAGGTTATTTAAAAAAAAAAGCCAACAATTATCAAAAAACCTCAAAATTACCATTTTATTTTTTAAAATAATAAAGACCTCTTTGAGAAGTAAATGACGTGAGCTCAGCATTATTTTCACTTCTTTGGAGCCTCCTGTCCCAACTCATGCATGGCATCAGCAATCATGAGTAATGTATCTATGCAGACATATGCTGTCAAAACAATTCACATACAGGGGTTTTTTTCTTGCTTACTTTTAGAAAGATATATCCACATTATTTGCACATGAATTGAATATTACAAATTCAGGATGGCAAAGGTTTGATATTACTGGAATTTTATGAGAGTTTAAATCTCTGCCAAAGTAACACTCTCTCCTGCACCGTCTGTGTCACAAATGCAATTGTTTCAGCACTATAAAACATGGAACTGACATCAGAAAACAACAGCCACCACCACCATGAGCGTATTTCCCTCCCACATTCTGTGCTTGTTGCCTCAGTTAAGATAGTGATCTGGTGAAAATGCATTTTTTGAAATAAAACAGTTAAAACTGTCTGCTTAGCAAACACATATGCATAGCTGGAATCTGAAGGAACAAAAGACGACGGTTTGATATTGGTCCAATATACATTTTTTACTTACCCTGCTTCTGTCATATTCCTTCCTTGAAGCTGCAAATAGCTGGGCATTGGATATGGCAATCCCACAGAATGGAAGATACATCTGCATCACCTAGTATCAAAAGAAACTCCCAGTCATTAAAAACAACTGCAATTAGATACTCATATTACTAGCAAAGAGACCTAAACTTAGGTGACATGTCCCAGGAAGGTCTCTGCTTGCTCACTCTTCAGCAGAACACTAAACACAAAACAAAATCATCATGGGCAAGGCACATAAAATGGGTGGAACAGAAATCAAATGGGTAGGAAAGAACAAATGCATTTGAGTTCACAGGTCCCAGCAGTGAGGGTCCTCCATAACCTGTCCGGAAAACTGCAGATTCTCAAGTCTATAAAATGTCTGCTGAAGACTACATTAAATTACTGTAGACACCACAGCTTCCCTAGAAAAAGCATTCTTTATTTTTCTGGACTGCTTTTTTGTTCT